GTTTTAGTGGGTAGGCCCGACCTGGTCAGGTCGGGAGAGCCCCACATAACCGCGGGGTGAATTCCCATTCCCCCGCGGTATGCGTAATGCATTTCCCCTGCCTTACCAAAAAAAAAAAGTCAGCTGATTGATGATACTATTAACGCAGGCAGCAACCAATAATTCAACATCTTTCTTGGATTTTTTATAACGTATCTGTATACATTCATTTCTTTAAAGACTTTTATGTATACTTTATTAGTTTACTGCGTACGCCTGTGATCAATCATCAATTTTAATTAATGATGAAAACTGTAAAATTAGTTCTTAAGAAAAAATTGTATTGTTGCGGATGATGAATTATAAAATTAATCTTTTTATTACATGTAATATACATGTATGTACGTATATACAGGGTGTCTCAAAAAAACGGATCGAAACACAATGGGGACGTAGATTGGATCAAGGGGAACAAAACAGTTTTGTACCATTTTGCAGTTGACGCAATATTTAACGAGATATTAACGTTTAAAGATAGGCGAATACAAGCGTCCGACCAGCCTACTGCTCATGTACTGCTGCCGGCAGGACGGTCTACCGTCCCCACCGATCGCATGACGCCCCGGCCAGGCCATCTCCGCACCTCGCAGCCCGCCGCCCGGCCGGCGCGTCATGCGATCGGTGGGGACGGTAGTCCGTCCTGCCGCGTACATGAACAGTAGGCTGGTCGGACGCTTGTATTCGCCTATCTTTAAACGTTAATATCTCGTTAAATATTGCGTCAACTGCAAAATGGTACAAAACTGTTTTGTTCCCCTTGATCCAATCTACGTCCCCATTGTGTTTCGATTCGTTTTTTTGAGGCACCCTGTATATATAAAATGTTATTTAATTATAGATCAATATGTATGAGATCGAAATTAATCTAGTCATATTGAATGTATGTAAAAACTTTTCTGAGATTCTTTGGAAAATTATTTTATACAAAACAGATTGTGAAATAGATTGCGTATCTATTTTGTACATATGTATCAGGATAATTACATTAATATTGAACATGCAATAAAAAAATAGATACAAAAATTTCAATAAATGATGCACCTCATTTGTCGAAGTCAAGTTACTTATTATTTGATAAACTTAATTACTCAGCTTTGACTCACTCCTTACAAAGATTAATCTCTAGAAATGATGACAAAAACAAGCAGGCAGTAGATATATGTATATTTCCTATGAATCGAAAAAAAATGAAAATTCATTTTTTATGTAAAGAAAATTTATTAAAAATTCAAATAAATTAAAAATAATATATTACTATAGAAACAGATCCTGATCGTAAATGTTTTGAGATCAATTTATTTTAAATTTTTATTTTGATCTTTTTACATTTTAATATTTTTTAACGCGTATTCTTTAATCAGCTAAAATATATTTCAATAAATCTTTTTCCGTTTTTCACAGTAAATACCTAATTATTATATTTTACTTTCAAAGCTTCACAAAAGAAATACAAAGTATATCAACTACTTTTTCATCGGAAACATCAAAAATAGTAGTTATATAGGGCGAATGTATCGTCTGTGGCCACCTTAAGCATTTATATAACTTTAAGAAATTTTTTTTAAATAATACATAAAAAGGAGATATTATTTACTTAAATACATTGTTTAATGTCTTAGTTTTTAATATTCAAAAAAATTTTAAGGAAAAAAGCGAATATATAATGAAAAAATTGAATAGTTGCAAAAATTCCATTTTACAACATTTTTGGCCACCTATATACCTATTACCATTACGAGGCTGACTACTAATTACTTGATGACTACTAGTATTGTCTGCTATACTTGTGTCATATGTAATTATTGATAAATTATTCTACTTACCGCGTTTCGGGAATTCTTAACTTTTTTAACAAGATGACTGTGTCTTGAGTGTATTCTGTAGAAAATAATTTTTTTATAATATGAAAGAAGAAATGTGAGGTTACTTGTCACATTATTAAACAAGAGAAATAATTGCGACGCACATGTGTTGTGATTGCTACGCACTAAAGCCAACCAAAACTAGAAGAACCTAATAAACAGCGAAGATAGCCAAAATAGGTACAGTGGCCACAAACGGTGCATTCATCCTATATTATCAATTATAATGTTAGAATAAATAATTCCTATCGAGCTATCGAGATAATTCCTATCGAACTGATTCAAGTTGTTCAATTGAATGAATTTAGTAACTGCTAAATTTGACAACGGAGTTGTTGAAGCAGCGCCAAGTGTTTTTACATGAAAAATTTTTCTATTTAAATTAAATTTTTTTCATTTTATACGGTTAATTCTTTAATTTTTTGTGGTAACACTTAAATCGAGCAAGGTAACGCAATTTTGTGATGTTTTGTATAATGTTTTGAAGGAGAATTAAATAATCACTACTTTATAGTTGGTAGATAAAATCTTTAAATGAATTGTGATTAAATAACTACTACTTTAGTTGGAAGAGGAAATGTCTTTGAATGAATTGTGATATGATAATTTCATTTAAGAGGAATTTAAACCATTTGGATTGGAATAGGAAGATTCTTCAATAAGTATACGTATATTTAGGTTTCATTGTATAAAAATTAAAGATAGTACCATTTGGATTAAATAAATAATAAAGATAGTATCACTTAGGTTTTACTTTTTATTTTGTAATAGAATTTAACTTGGCGCCACAATTGTTGATATCAAATCGTTTGTACGAATAATACATATTAGATTAATATTCATTATTTAATTTGGCTATCAAATCTTTTTTACGAATAATACATAAAATTTTGATAAATTTAATTAAATTAACAAAATTTAACTTGGCGCCACAATTGTTGATATCAAATCTTTTATACAGATGATACATATATCATTAGATTAAACAGTAAACGCAATTAGTCATCAGTTCCACGGCCGATTAAATAATTGACGTTGGTGTAACCGCCCCAAATGGGCTTTTTTTACCTTTTTTTTAAAAAGGTAAGTTTGTATACAATTAAAATTACTATTACACTCAATTAAAAAATCCCACCACCACTCCCATAATAAATTAACATTGCATTAGCAGAATTTAACTTGTCGCCAGTTGTTGATATCAAATTGATATCAAATCTTTTATATGGATCATACGTACTTCACTAGAATTAATTAAAAAATTTTGTGATATGATTACTTGGATCGAAATAGGAACGTAATAATTTTTATGTAATTGAAGGCTAATTGAAACAATTATTACTTGGTTTCCTCGACGGCGAACGTCTAGACACCAACTTTCTCGACGGCGAACATGTAGACAACACCCACTTCCTCGACGGCGAACACCTAGACACTTATTTCCCCGATAGCGAACACCTAGATATCCACTTTCTTGACAGCGAACATGTAGACAACACTTAGACACCTAATTCCTTGACGGCGAATACCTAGACACCCACTTCCTCGATGGTGAACACCTAGACCTCGACGGCGAACACCTAGAAACCCACTACACCCACATCTTCGACGGCGAACATCTAGACACGAACTTCCTCGACGGCGAACACCTAGAAACCCACTTTCTCGACGGCGAACATGTAGACAACACCCACTTTCTCGATGGCGAATACCTAGACACTCATTTCCTCGACAGCGAACATGTAGACAACACCTAGACACCCACTTCCTCAACGGCGAACACCTAGACACTCATTTTCTCGACAGCGAACATCTAGACACCAACTTCCTCGACGACGAACATGTAGACACCCACTTCCTCGACGGCGATCACCTAGACACCCATTTCCTCGACGGCGAATACCTAGACACCCACTTCTTCGACGGCAAACATCTAGATAAGTTTTACATCTTAATAATCAAGTTAGTCAAAGTAAACTGAATATCTGCTATCTTAAATGTACAATGTCAATCTGATGTTACTACTTATGTTCTCGATGTTGATTTCTGAGTCATACATAAATATCTTTGAATTATACACTACGTGTGGATATCTCATTCGTTATTTTCTATTATAGCTTTGAATATTACCGATGATAACATTTTACATATTCAGGTCCAATTTAAATGTAATCGATAAGATCTTCATTTGAGTTGTTTAATCTCAACATAATATCTAATATCGAAAAGTACTATTTAATTTCAGGAAATATATCTTTCTCAATTCCTTTTATTAATTCAATTGTTTATGAAAAAAAAAGAAAAAAATTGATTTGTTATTCTCAATATAGAAAGTTTCTATATAAAATATTTTAAAATTTATCTCACTAAGGGCCAGTTTTACCAACTCCGATTAACATAATCGACCGATTAATCCATTGGAATTGACCAATCGTCGTCAAACAAAATGACAAATGCGATTGGTCAATTCCAATGGACTAATCGGCCGATTAAGTTAATCGGAGTTGGTTAAAAGTGGCCCTAACTTCTTTTAATAATTCTTTAACGAGAATCTGATGTTAAATTTTATTTTTAAAAAATATGAATATCTCGTTATTTGTTGTAACTTTTATAAATATTAAAATGTATAATTTAAAATATATAATAATTACATATACACACAATTATGAATCCTATAATTATATTATTCTATTTTTTCGAAACAAATCTATTTAATACACCATAATCTTTATTTTGATTCTCTGTTTTTTTTGTTACTGTTTCTTTCTGTTCTTCACGAAGCGCTTCAATCATTTCCTAAAAATAACAATTTATATCATTTAACGTCCAATTTATAAGTATCAAAAATAATTAATTTAGAATATGCAAAATGCTTACCCGACGATTTAAGTCTTTCAATATTTTTTTAGTTTTTATTATTTTTGCAGTGCCACCTTTTCCCTTAGCTTTTGTTCGTCGAGATTCAAAATTTATCGGTTTTGGCTTAATATACTAAAAAAAATATTGTTAAAAATGTCGAATGCCATAATCATATAAAATAATCTGAATTTAAAATATTTTCGTCTTATTTACCAAAAGTTTTTTCTTTGCTTCCACTTTTTCTTTATACGTAGGTACATCAACTTCAAGTATTTCAGTCGAATCTAGCGTAATTAATTCAGGTTGTATTTTTTCTAAAAGTGCTTTCACTTCCGTCTCTCGTCTTTGAATTTTAGTCTGGAATGGATTAACTTCATGCGCATCGTAATTTGCTTCCGCACTTCCTGGCACCAAAAGTGACGAAAATTCATTAGCTGTTGAAATTCCCAAGAAATCTTCATAGGGACAAAACCTTACACAGTTCACATTGCGAGCAGTTCTATGTCGCAAATATGGCTTGAAGTCACCAAAAGTTTCTCTAATATAAAAATAAATACAGATGATAAAAACTCCTCAGAGTTGTTGTAATACTTATCAATAAATTACCTATAAACTTCAACTACATTCCCCATTCCAAGTGCAAGCAAACCGCGCTGACTGTAAGACATACGATGAGCGGGTGAACGTAGGTACAAGTGACTCACTGGTCCTGTTAACTGCCTAATATCCCATATCTTCACAGATTTATCTAGAGAGCTAGTTGCCATGTAAGTCCCATATGGATGAACAGTGCAAGTCATAACTGACTGATGATGGCAAAGCATTTTTGCCAATGGTTTATGAGAGTTTGGAGACCACATAGATACTATTCCTTTCGAGTTACCCACACATAGCACTGCATTACTTGGATTTTGTGTCATCACCTGTCATAAATTAATGATTGTCAGTAAGCAATATCCAAGATGCATAGAACATAGACAATAAAAAATAAACGCAATCTTTTACAAAACTCACAGATATTCTGCCCAAATTAGAATTATAACGAGCAATTAGCTTGCCTATAGAAATATCCAACCAAGCCATGTGACCATCCTTCGATCCACTGGCAAGTAAAAAATGATATGGCAAAAATTCTAATCTTGTTACACCATTCATTCTTTTCAAGCAATGTAATTCTATTCCCTGATTATCATATACATAAACCCAGTCTTTTTGCGCTACTGCAAACATAGTTTCCAGATGTAGCCATGCAACATCATGCACAGATTCCATCACATTTATTTCACAGGCCAGCTTCTTCGTCACCCAGTCGAAAGCTGCCACATGACCTTGTTTCCCACCCAAGAGCAAGTGTCTACCATTTCTGGTATATCTAAAGCAGTATGGGCCAAATTGCAAATCCAGTTTGAAACGTTTAGCCGCGCTCGTTATGTCCACATTCTCTGCTATTTGTTTCTGTCGATACTGAGTAGTAACTTCTCCAGGTTCTGCTTCCAAGTAGCCATGCTCCTCTGTCAATAATAGTTCTGTCCGAGCAGAAGCTTCTATCTGTTCTTCTATAGCTTGCTCTTTCTGCTTTAATTTCTTTTTTAGTATTTTGTTTTTTATTATACTCGCCTTTCTATTTAACTCAAGTCCAGGACCTCTAGAATGTTTCATTAATATTTCTTTTTTAACTGGCACCTTTTCAGAGTGTCTCTTACCAATTGGTGTCTTTCCATAGTACTTTTTATCCACTAGAAATATAAATAATTAAGTATAAATAACTAAGATAATAACTGAGAAATGGTATAAATATAAGTAATTATGTTTATTTTAATTTTATAATACGTGTAAGATTTTAAGCTACATTTTCTAGATTTGAAAATTATTTAAAACAAAAATAATTATGCATCTTTTCAATATTAAATTATATGTAAATAATTTTTTATGAATTCATTGCATTTTTACGCAATTTTCTTAAATGTACCTTCTATCCAGTAAACAAGAATGGATTAAAATAGATTGAAATTTTATCTATCCATATGTGTATTTTAAATAACAAAAACTTTTTTTATTCAATTAGACTAAATTAGATTCAGACTAAATTGGATTCAATTGGATTGAAAAAACTGCATTTCCTATTCAGAATTTTGAACTGAGAAGTATACACGAGACAAAAAGCATTATATTTTTAGATAGAAATGTGCTCGTTCAATTCGTATAAATGAATAAAAATGCATTCAGATTGAGAAGAATTCATTTTAATGTTCGTGAATGCATATTTCTGAAAATCTAAATCCATTTCGAGCCATTTCAATTCACATTCTCTTTTTCTTCCTTTCTTCTCTTTAATTGGCATTTGCCATCTCAGTCGCGTGGCCGTAATCTAGCCATAAACGAGTTGAAACCGATGGGATTCAGATAAAATGTGTAGAAACTTTTAATGTATGATGAAACGCACGTTTAAAGCCAGCCACACTTTTCAAAAATATCCACTCAGCCAAAGCAAACATATGTCTGCTCCAACCGAGCGAATTTTCAATCCATTCTTTTGTTTACTAAGATATACACGTGAGTTAACCTACTAACTATAATTTATTTGATCATATAAACGAGAAAAAAAAACAAAAAATCAAACAATAAAAGACGGTTTTAATGCTCATACCTGATCGTTTCATTGTGACTTTTATCGTGATCAAATATTAATTTCTATACTAATTTTATTGAGAATCATGCAACAGATACAATCAGAGATGAAATCCAATTCAGAGTCCAATTATTACTGCAGAAACCTCAGAGCAGCCTGAGCAGTCATCCTGGCGTTTTTCGTCAAAATCGTCCGTACGCTAGCGCCAGTACATTTATTTTCGATTTGGGAACTACGTTATATAATTACGTGATTGGTGGTGATTGGTAAAAGGATGTATTCACTGACGATAAAATCATAGTGTCGAATAGCTGTTAGAGATTTTAAAACGTAAAGGAGCAAATTCCTCATTAGGAACAAATCTTTTGATTAGCCTGGCAACACTGCTGCGAGACATTCGCGTCATTCGCTGGTTTACATTCGTCGTAGGTCGATGATGATTGGAGCATGCGCTGACACACTCCCGTTCAGCTATTCCGATTCCCTCCTCTCGCGATCTGTAGGGGTGATTGTCATTCATGATTAGTCGCAACGTTCTTGACCGCGGCGAGGTTTATCGCGTTTCCAAGTTTCTACGTACGGTGTTACGTATACGCTTACTTCGTCAAAAAAAAAAAAAATAGTTAAGTGTTTAATCGTGCACGCTTTCCTCGTCGCTCGCTTGGTACCCAGCTCCGTTCGGATTGATCGATCGCGGAGTGAAATTCGCCGCACGCGAAGGACCCATTTGGCGCTTTTTCCACGGGTGCGCGATGTTATTCGTCTCGTCTCTCTCCTGATATCCGACCCGGCCTTCTTCACAATAATGGGATCTTTGCCGTCCTAATATGCGGTAGGTAGTCGATCAAGATTTTGTGAGAATGGGAGAAAAAGAAAGAAATAGAGAAAAATGTGTGTTAACGTGCGCGGCATTATCCGCGAAACCGCGTGGCAATCGATCGCGGTGAAGTTGGCTTCGAATTGCCCGAGTTCCGCGCGATTACGGCATATTACAGCCGTTTCCCTGGAAGGTGGAAAAAAGAACAAACGGAGAGGACGGCACAAGTGAAAAAGAAAAGAAACGAGTGCTTAGACGTAACGCAAGCTGCTGCTCCTTCGCGGCGGACATGTCGACGTAATGGCGTCACGGCTGTCTTTTGACCGCAGATAAATGCATTCCGCTTTCTTCATTGTCGCAACGGCGGATTCCGACGACGTCTTTCAGTACTGTTCCCCGTACGGAATTTCACGTGATCATACTTCATTACAACGGCGTCATCTTTAACGCGTAACGCTTAATGGATGTCCACGCGTATCTATCAATCTCAGTCTGATATTTTCCAATAAGGTTCAGTATATTTCTCACGTAGTGTAATCAAATTGAGGAGAAGAGAGTAGATACCTCGCATCTCTAGTTTTCACGAAAGTTCAATTTAACTGCAGAGATATGCAGCAAATGGATAATCTTACTCTTGTAGCAGACGAGTGCTTAACCGACTTATCTATAGGTTAATCAGATGTGACCGATAAGATCATGTTTTAAAATCGATGGCCTTACAATGCTCCATTTAATTTTACAGAGTTATCCTCCAAGTATTGCGAAATAGAGCAGTCAACAAATTAATTTGCCCAATGGAAGTTATTTGTGTCGCATTATTGCAGTTTTACAGCCAATATTCATAATCGGTTCTTATATTTTAGTCCGTCTTAAGTACATTTTAATGTCTATTCTTTTTAGATGAACTTTCACTGTTCATCTTTTCTCTTTTTTTCCTCCAAAATGAAAAGAAAAGGAAGAAATACGAATCGTGCAAGAAGTTCAGCTAAAAGGAACAGACTTTTAAAATGTCTTAAACTAATCACAAGAGTTATATTAGCATTTTAAGACATTACTTAAAGAGAGAGCTTTAATAAATAAGTACTCCAAGTATGAACATAAGAAACAATTGCTCTATGAGAGAACTTAGTGCTGTCAGATTATATTTCAATGTATCTGCACAAAAGTACTAGAGGGATCAAATATGAAATTGAGATAATGTTATACTTCATAGATGATATAGTGATTATATTAATTAATATTAAAATTTTAAAATAAGAATCGACTATGAATAACAGTCTACAAAATTGCAGTTATAAGACAGCTTATGATTTCATTATTTTTAATACTATATACTTGTGCTATATTTGTCTGTTTCAGATGGTTGTCTTGTAATATCAATCATAGTACTCAATCAGTGACGCGATTCGTTGACATCATAGCATTAATGAATAGAAGATTTTGCATAAAGGCCTCTTCTACATTTTAACATCCAACTGCGAATTAGCGGTGGAAATGGCAGATGAGTGCAGCGAGGTCAAGTCGGCAGGACCATCCTCGCCAAGGAGTCCTCAGGGCAGCAGCAATGGTGGGAAGCCCAGTAGCCCGCACTCGCCTAGGCAACCAAGACGCGTGAAGCTAACTCAGCAACAATTGGACAGCTTGACAAAGGACGAACTAGCAGCCAAATGGCATGAACAGGACTTGTATGTGGAGTGTCTAGAAGCCCAGTCGGCAGCTCAGGAAGGTACTGAGATCACACGAGTGAGGCCACCTCACTCACCACATATCTTAAGCGAATTAACGAATGCCAGGATACAACGATATTTTGTAAGAAACAAGACTCTCGTAGAGACGCTAAGCATAGGGTTCATTAGATCAGTGTTTAGGATATTGTCATTAAGTTGTTTATTAGGCTTAAGGTAACGAGAAAGCTTTAATAAATAAGTACTCCAGGTATAAACATAGGAAACTACTTATTGCTCTATGATAGAGCCTAATACATCTTGCAATCAGATTAGTTTAATGTATCTGCACAAAAGTACTAGAGAAATTAAATATGAAATTGAGATAATGTTGCGCTTCATATATAATATGGTGATTATATTTATATTAATTTTCAAAACTGCATTTGTGATGTGTATAGTGCGGGTAATTAAAGATTCATATGTATCGTGATGTAAGGCGATAATTCTTAATGTAATTGTGAGCACGGGTGGAGTGACAGCCACATATATGACGTACAAAAAGGGATACGTTTAATCAAAATTTTCTTGCGAGCAATTATATTGTCAGCCATGAAAAAGCCATGATTAGCGAGTAAAAGTGAAAATGGCTGAGCTAACAAGTGCTTATGTGTGTCAAGAAGCGTCAATAAGGTTTCTCTGCAAAAAAAAACCCGTGTCTGCCATCGATGTTGTGGAAGACACAGCATTGCTCAAAATGTCATTTCACAAGTGCCCTGTGCAGTGTATCGCGTTGATCTCTGCAGTGTAATAATTATACTGCCAAAAAAATGCAGGAGAGTGTGTGCCGTGCGTGTAATTCGAAATATCGAGTTCTAGTTAACGAGGATGAGATGAAAAGCAGCGTTTATATGATGGCGCTGATTTTACGGCTCAAAGGAATAATAAGAGTGGATCCGTGTCACCCCATTTGGCCTACAAAATACTGCACCTGGGGTGCGTGAAATTTATATCTCGGTGAAGTACGCAATCACATTCGTCGTTATCAATTGGAACATAACTCAATCCCATCTGTCTCCCTTCCCTTGATCTACGTATCCTTAATTATTATCTTATCCTTAATTTTTTTCCAGTTAGAGATAATGCAATTAACTGTATTCCTAAATCAATTGTCCTACATATTCTTACTATGAATGCAACTTGTGCATGCATTTATACCTGCACCATAATGTCCTGGTATCAGATACGAATTTCAAAAGTACATACCTGTGGGTTAAGCCCGGCCAGCGTCTCGTTACGCCAACATCTGTGCCTGCAACAAGTACATGCTTGATTCATACAGAAGAAAAGTAACGTCCACTCTTGGTCTTGGAAGTACAGAGAGTCACAAATGGCACGTCGCAACGACTCCAAAAATCAAAGTATGCGCTAATTAACAATGTCAGTTGTCAGGCAGTCATAGTCACGTACTTATAAAAGTATATTGTTTATTTATGCGCACTTAGGTAAAAGTCATAAATATTAATTTTTCCAGTATGCTTAGTTCCATCAAAAACTCTATTGTATAATATATATAAAAATTATACAACAAATTTTATAAAATTATATAGTCTGATGTTTCAAATATTCAATATCCAATATTATGATTCATAAATTTTTATTCTTAATTAAATTAATTATATAAGTGTTCCAGAGAAAATTATTTACAGTTGCAGAAAAAAGTTCTTGATATTTCGTTATAAATATATTATAAAAAATTTGTAATAGAATAAAGTATATATTTTTACATTTCTTCAAAATAATAAATTTTATTCATTAATAATAATCTTGAAAAGAATACTACTAAAAAGAAAAAAATATTTATATTTTCGTGGAAATATATTTATATAGAGAGATATAGCTGTTCACAAAAAATTATTAAAGAATTTTTTTTAATCTAATTAATTTATTTCGTAAAAATAATTTGAAATCCTTACATACAATATAAGTAAATAATATAAAATATTACTTAATTTCAGAATATATTGGATATTTATATTTACATTTTTAATAATTCAAGTATCAAAAATTATATTTATATAAAGTATCTTTAAAAAAAATTTTGAAAATATTAAGACAATATAAAATACAATCGCTGGCTAGATATTGAAAGAAAAAACAAAATCAACTTGCAGGCTTAAAATAGAGAACTAATATATGCGCGCGCGCGTGTGTGTGTGTGTGTATGTATTACATCTCCTATATGAAATATACATATTCCATTATTTCACTGTAATTGTTTTAATGGTCAAGAATTATGTTATGTTATTTTACAAGAAATATTCTTGTAAAATATGAATATATACATACATCACAAACATATATGTAATAACTACTGCAATTTTAAGAAACACATAGATTCCATTGAATGTTAAAGTTCTAGAAGTAGAAAAATTTATAGATTATTCCTTTATAGGTGAACTAGCTTCATTGAGAGAATCCGAAAACAAATACAGACAACAATATATAGAGGCATCTCACAGGGAGAAGATCTTAGTGAGGAGGCTTGCCTCTAAAGAGCAGGAATTACAAGAGTATATTGTATGTAATTATTCTCAGATATATCGAAATTCTTTACAGTACAATTTATCTTGCAAAATTTATTTCTATATGATCTTCTATAAAAAGGATTTTATTTTTTTCATTATTAGAATCAAATAACTGAAATGAAAGCCACTCAAGCTCCGTCCACAGCTGCATTAAGGTCCGCTCTGTTAGATCCGGCTATTAATATATTAATACAGAAATTAAGGCAAGAGTTAATAACGACCAAGGGCAAATTAGAAGATACGCAGAATGAACTAAGCGCATGGAAATTCACTCCGGATAGGTCAGAAAAACTTTATACATTAAAGAAAAGACATCGCACGCGACACAAGTGTTTTCATTAAATTAAATATTTTATTTACAGTAATACGGGGAAAAGATTAATGGCAAAGTGTAGATTGTTGTATCAAGAAAATGAAGAACTTGGTCGTATGATTGCCAGTGGACGTATTGCTAAATTGGAAGGCGAACTTGCTCTGCAAAAGAGTTTTAGTGAGGAAGTGAAAAAGTCACAATCAGGTATCATATTAGTTATTCATTGATTTACAATTGTTATTAACTTTTACCAAGTAATTATTATAATTATTACAATTAAAATCGAATCTGTGATCAAAATATTTCAAATATGACTAATGCATTTTCGTTTAATTTGTCTTTTACAGAATTAGATGAATTTCTGCAGGATTTAGATGAAGACGTAGAGGGTATGCAGAGCACTATTTACTTTTTGCAACAAGAACTGCGCAAGGCACGAGAGTCTGTCACGCTACTGCAACAGGAGAATGCAGCATTAAAGGCAAATACAAACGAGAATAATTTATCTAATGGTTTATCGCCCCATACGCCGCCAATTAAGAAAGAAGAACAGGAAGAAACTACAGTACCAGATACGAAACCTCCGAAACCGATGGAGGACAGTGATATGTGCAAAGGTGTGAGGACTCCACCGTTAGCGTCGCCCCAGAGTGAGCTTACCAGTGTCGAAAGAACAGAACGTGCGGAGAGAAAACTTAATCAAGCCGATCACAATGACGAGAGTTCCAGCGATTCCGCGGCGTTAATTATTAAGGTTGAGAACGAGGAACTTAGTGATAGGGAAGAAGAGCAGGAGGAAAATCGGAACAAACGAATATTAAGAAATAAAAATCACAGTAGGAATAGTGGTAAATCGAACGGGGAGGAGGTGACAACACGAACAACACGGGGTAGGGACAGGATAAAGAGGGAGAAAAGTGCAGCCAGTAGTGATGATGAAAGGACGCACAAGAAGAAACGAAGGGAAAGCATTCTTTCTCTCGATTATAACGAAGCTGATGATGATGCGCTAGTTTTAACTAATGGCGAGACTCTGCAGAGTGATCCCGAATGAATATTGTTTTAGGTTGATTTTGGACAACATTAACCACACGTGTGGTCGAAATTCGCGATATATGATTTGACATCCACTATGTACAAAATTTTTCATCTAAAGCAACACCGGTTGCTTATTTACAAGATATTGTTCGAATAAAAAAAATAATTAGCCATAAAGAAACGTAATTTCAGTACCTGTATTCGTGATAAACTGCAAAGGATAAATATTCACATTGGTCTCTAAAATGACAAGCCTGTAAATACTCTTATACCATTAGATCGATATAAAGTTCGTTTACGTCAAGTTACTTGCAAACGACCAAGTTGCGTATTACATTACAAAGATATATCAGACGAAAAATCTGAATAGATTAATATAACTTATTACAGCCGAATATGCTGTAAGGAAAACTCAGAACAATCGAATTTTGTTTGTATTTTGTAAATTTATTGTATTAAAACTATGTAAAAATCAGCAAGAGCTTTGGTTCATCAGTAAAAGAAGGATAATTCGAAAGATATTGTCAAGAATTAATCAAAAACGCCTGACCATGTTACGTAGATAAATCAAGTAAATTTTAATATTTTCAGGCATAGAAAGCGAACTGTGAGATTTTCACATGATTATGTACATATGTAACGGTTCGATGTACATATGTATTTTTGTGCAATATGAGGCATCGACCGCGATTTTATTTTGCTTTTACCGAATAATTGGAAAACATATAAAGCATCTGTGACAAAATATACAATATTAGTCTTAGTAATGCATATGGATTGATCTCACAGACTGATACATTAAACTCACATCTTTAATTTTCCTAAACTAAACTGAAATTTGTATAGTGTTTGATATATTTTATATTATCTATATATGCAAATTTGTTTTATATCGTCTCCGTAAAAAAATTTTTGCTTTCAATTTTATTTGTAGTTCATGCTATAAGGAAAGGAACGGTGGATATCAAAAATATAAATTTGCATTAAAAAAAGAAAAATGTTATAAGGTAAAACGCATGATATTCTATCCCAAATTTTCTGTATATATAGTGCCATTATTATTCTTGTATAGAAGATACTAATAATTTCTGAGATACGAGCGATAAAGAATAAAGTGCTTTTTCTTACGCACATTTTGCAATTAAAGCATGGTGTCTTCTTTTCTTCAAATAATTAAGAACGATTAGAAATAACTTTATATTTCGATAAGAATACAATTTTGCTTACGCGATGTAGAACGTCCGCGTGTTAGTTTACACTAATCTTATCACTAAAAGTATGCTAACATGAATTGTGAATCTTCAACTGCAAAACATGATTATTAAAGGATTCCTTATTCAGATTGAAAATATGTTAATTTCTTTCCATTCCATACTTTGCATTTAATTATATGATTGCGTAATAAATATATACATTGAAAAAATAGAAAATTCAAAAACAATTCCCAAACGAGAGAATTAAAAAATAAATAGATAAATCCTAATGTCAAATTTAACACATTTAGAATATAATTTATTGCACATGAAAAAATTCAATTTTAAAGAGAATGAATATTTTTGCCGGTTCGATCTATCGATTTGAAATTAAACATCGATATACATTTTTGAGCCTATTCTTTGTTGCTGTCCTATCTCATTATTTTTAAACTTCAAATATATACCGATTTTATCTTAACATTATAGTTCAGCTATAAAAAAAGTTTTTACAGATATATGTTTAACTCCGTTTAGAAATGGCACTTTACCACAAAACTATCAATACACGATTCTACACGAATTTCCACTCTCGCCGATATCGCAGCATTCGGCGAATAGTTGAGTAAGTTCATTTGTGGTGTATTGTAGTATATATTAGTATTTTCCGATGGTAGTGGCATGAGAGGACTTGAGGAGTAGTAGTGGTGGTGCAGAACAGTGTAGAACCACGTAGAACCGTGGAGAAACAGAACTCGGCAGAATCATACAGGCAACCACAAGATCCGTAAATAGAATCCTTGCAAATCCTGGAAAAAATCGAATCGCATCTTCCCGAAAAACAGTTTACTTAAAAACAGTGTCGCTCCAATTATGTTCGCAGCAAGACGTATTCTGGTCTCCAAACCAATGTAAGCATGACGGAAATCGCCTCCTGGATTTGACGCTGTTTTCACATTATGTAATTTCTAACCTAGCACGCAACTTCTCGACATGTTTGCAACAATTTTTCGTGTATATCTATATAACGAGCAATTGTTATCGAACTCTTGCTCGAATCGTTTGATGAATCTATAAATTTTTAATAATTTTTACAAAATCATATGTGTGTAAGTACACTTTCTGTACTTTTTGTTTCGATGCAGGACTGGCAGCAACGTGTTCACAGCTGATCGGCGAATTGTCAAAAGAAATAAGCTGTTCCTGAATTTTAAATTCTAGATTTCTTCCTTGAGATTTTTCCACAATTTGTTAAAAAACTTATGAGATTCTGGAATTGACATATAATCAAAAAATGCATGCAAAATAATGATTTCGAGACGTAACATCTTGAGACGTTCCTTCAAGATTACAAAATAAAGCGTAAACAAATACTCTTTTCGAACATATCGCAACTCTCACAAAAAGTGAAATTTACCGAATCTTGTATTATATGCAAATTATATTATGAATACATCGGTCTCCAATTAGGAAAAGTGATACAAGTTAAATTCTCAAATATTCTTGAATTCTCAATTTCTTTTTCCAAAGAAAAATAACACAAAAGAAATATAGAATTTAAAATAAGAGAATAGCTTATTTTTTAATAATACAAATAGATAATTTTACTGAAATATTTTCCAAAAGTTATTTTACAATATACACCCGCTAATTTTTTTTTTAATAAAAAAAGATACTTCCGCATAGAGAGAGAGAGAGAGAGAGTTATCTAGCATATGTAGACTGTTTTTTTATATTATAAATTCTTTATAATTGGTTATCTAGAAAAAAATCGTTTAATTCTATAAACTTTAAGCGGTAATATCTGTTTTAATTGAAATTATATATGTTCTAATATCTATAAATAAAAATTTAGATAAAGATCATAAAAAAATTATACACACATAGAAATTTTAAACAAAAAAAATTTAAACAAAAATTTGAAATTTGAAATAACAGCAAACGTTTATTTTACTTATTACTATTTGTTATTTTATATTTATATGTATATAATATTTTTTATTTATAACATGTACCATTGTATATACTATATATAATATTGTTTTGATTTTATAATATGTATAATAACGTAATCCCTTCTGTAACTAATGCAGCAAGGATGTATTTGCGAGATCGAAGCATTCACTTCCGAATTTGCCATATGACTATAAGGCTCTGGAGCCCATCATATGCGGTGAGATCATGGAGCTCCACCATTCCAAACATCACGCAACCTATGTTAACAATCTGAACGTCGCTGAAGAAAAAATGCAGGAGGCTATTGCAAAAGGCGACGTTAATACACAAATCGCCCTGGGTCCAGCTATCAAGTTCAACGGTGGTGGTCATATCAATCATTCAATCTTTTGGTGCAACCTTTCGCCCAATGGTGGAAATCCAGACGGTAATATAACTTTCCAATTAATGTAAAAGAAGTACTTGAATAATGTTTAAGTCAATTTATTCGATAATTAAAAAAAATTCTTATAAAATTTTATTTTTACAAAGTTTTTGTCAAGTCAGAATAAAATTACACAATTAAAAATTGAGGTTTCATTAGTGATTAGGTCACTTTGTAATATATAATGATTTTATAAATTTTCAAACTCACATAACATCTAAAATTAAAATAAGGGGCAAATTACTTTAATAAATGGAGAAAGACTTAGAAATTGAAGAATTTTTATTTCTTAGACATAAAAAGAAAAGAAAAAAAATCAATAACTGATCAATAGATATGAATAATTTTCAATAATTATATCTTTTCTTGGAAAAAAGAACTTATGTATGTATGTGAGAGATGATTAGGTATAAAACTTTTCAATTTTATGCAATAATATAATCAGAAGATATATACATACAATTGAATAATTGTAGTTCGTGCAGATGAATAATGTATTGCATATTTTTGCTCAGCTGCCCTTTTGAATCAAATCAACGAAGACTTTGGCAGTATGGAGGAAATGAAGAAATCCTTATCCCAGATTGCCATAGCAATTCAGGGCTCCGGTTGGGGTTGGCTCGGATACGATCAAAAGATCAATTCGCTGAGGATAGCGACTTGTGCGAATCAAGATCCACTGCAATCCACTACCGGTCTCATTCCTCTCTTCGGTATCGACATGTGGGAACACGCCTATTATATACAATATAAGAATGTACGACCCGTTTATGTGGAAGCAATCTTCGACATTATTAACTGGAAGGATGTAAATGCACGCTTCAAAAACGCCACTGGTTGTTAAGGCTCAACAAAGTCGTTTAGCGTTTAAGTCTGTTTTTTTTTTAGATATTAAGGTAATGTTTAAAGTGATGCTTTTATTAGGATTGAATGATATCATCAGGAATACAATCAGTAATTTTCCTGTGATTTCATATAGGTTTTTCTTTTCTACACTGTATTCGAAGTGACACAATCGAGTGACAAGTAAAACAAGTATGAAAAGTACATGAATGTAAAAGAGTACATTTATTTAGATTAGTATATCTAGATTAGTATATTCCTTATCCTTAATATAGAATATAACTATTTTGTATCTTGAAAATGATAAATGAAGGAAATGCATGATATAAAATCAGATTTATAGTAGATGGATTTTTGACTCTCAGCCCACATATTTCTCACCAAAGAAAGTAACAAGAAATCACTTTTTCTATACTTTTTCTTTGCCTTTCAGTTGCTATGAAAAGAAAGTTAAACTATAAAGACCTCTAAGCAAGTAGGCAACCTTTTGGTAGACAAGTTATACAATTATTTCTATAATAATCATCAATGGAAGATTTAATATATAAAATACTGAAGAAACAACTTATGATTAAATACATAATCGGTTCGTTTTACTTGCTATAATTCTCTTAAAATATGCACTTTCAAAATAAAGTTATTAACGTTTTATTTATTTTAAATTGTAAAATTATATTCAGAATCTATGAACATTGCTGACAGAGAAATTTAACATATTCAAGAATTATATAAAATTTATCTCACTTTTACTTGATAGAAAATAGAACGAAAGGTACCTATATATGAAAATAAATGGAAAGTGTTAAGATTTCCTTTTCAAATGCTTTAATACAAAATCAATTTTTCATCAAAGCAGTTCAAACTATGAAAAATATTTTATATATGTGAATTATTAATTAATGATTTATCACACATACAAACTGATTAATAACAAGATAAATACAATACACTTGTAAATTGTAAAACATGTATTTATGAAATGACAATAAAAATAAACAATGATTATATTATTATTGAAGTAAATTATTCTTTTGCATTCAATTTAAAAATATTTTATTGTTTATAATTTTATTGTTTATAAAATTCAACAGAATTAAATAAAAAATCTCCTTTGATCAACAATTTTATCATTTAAATAAAACTTTTTAATTTCATTATTCGCGCATTTCAAATTTCCAGATGTAAATACGATATCATTTCACACAAAGCAGTAATGTATCTCAAAGACAAATGGACCACGAGAGGAGACGAATCTAGGAAAGATTACTTCCGACAAATTACCAGGAAACAAGGTTATGTTTGGGAATCACCAGCTATGATTCATTCGAGTTTCCAGGAAGCGAAACAGAGCACGGACCGCGCCGTCTGCGTGTGCGCGGCAGCGCGGGATTGTGATCTTTATCCTCTCGCCACAAAGAATGAGAGGATTCAGGGCAAGAACGCGCAGGTCCTCCGCGGTCACTGCTGGTCACTCCGAGTTGAACGTAGGCGCGAGCGGGCGCGGACAGCGTCGTGACTCGTGACAGGTCCGTTCGTTCGCAGCAACTTTCGTCACGAAGAGTTGACGAGGAACGACGGAGTCGTAAGGCAAGAGGACAGGTGTTACAAACAACAGACCGAGTCTCGCGCGTGCAAGAGACTTCGGATAATCGATCGCAGGCGTTAGACCGCCGCGCCAGGGAAGTCGGACAAACCGAGTGGCGTCGCGACGCACGGCGTGCACGGCGCTCGCCGCTTCCGTGGAACGTGTATCGTCGGAGCCAGAGCCAGTATGGCCGTAGGACCTCAGCTGTTTTCACGTCACTGCCTACGTATCTGGTGAGTCGCCTCGACAAGAGGTTGCTTTTTTTTTTCGTCGTTCGCGCGTGGTACTCGCGCTAACTTCTCTCGCCTTTCTTTCTCTCTTTCTCCCTCTCCCACCCTCTCTCACGCAACCTGTCACGCGCGTAAACGTACGTGCGTCATGATCGCGATCGCGCATCTTTACGAGCACCGTGCGAACACGGCCTCGTAAGTATAAAGCGCAACATCGCGTCGTATTGCCGCGACGGACAATCATTTATTCAAACGACCCCGTCGTCGTTATCGACAGCAAGTGTACGGCGTCCCGAGCGTTTTCGAAGCGCTAAACGATCCGAGTCGCCGTTGTCTGTCACTCCGGAGTAAAACGTCGGAAATGAATTCGCGCGAATCTCGAGATGAGCGATGAAAGCGAATCGTTTTGTTTTTTTAATTTTAAAACGTATCGTACAGCTTGTCTCTCGATTATCGAAATCTCCAGATTGCATGACTTCGTGCGAATTGAAAATTTTGAATAGTCAGAGATGCGTGAAACTGAGAAATTTTCTTGAAACATCATCAAACCGAAACTCCGCGATCGAAATTGTTGAAAGTACGAAACGAAGTTAGACACGGTAGTTCATATCGATTATTTCGAATCTCTCGCGTTACATTTATCTAGAAAAAGATTTCTGCTTGTTCATAACCGTTACTCATGATTTCGCAACTAGGGGTGCATTCAGGAAAATTCAATATTATTTTATCCTTGCTCACACCGAATATTAAACAAGGATAAAATGATACCTGGGTGCACCTGGATAAAGTTTCTAAACGGAAGGTGCAAAAGGGTGGTTAATCAGTCTGAAGTTCTCGTATACTTTCTCGAGTATTCGAACCATTAGCGTTGCGTCAGGGGTTGAAACATAAAAATAGAGATTTCTTTTAACGAGAATAATAAATAGGTATATATTCGATGACAAGTCCGTATATTAACGCAGATTTATCACATACCTGCCTTGTAATAATTTAATAGAAAATAATAATTAATTACTTTTTTCGGTATTAAAAGCACTCTTGTTTAATACTTTTAATTTAACACTCAAAATAAATAATTTTCAGTATTAAATTGAATTTTGTAAAGAACGAAAAGTGACCAAGTCAAAAGTATTTATAAAATTGTTCAGAAAAGAGGAAAGAAAATTGTGTATTTTAAAATTAATTATTTATTACGGGTATTAAATGTGTTAACTTAAAGTTAATCACAAATTGCTTGTTTCAGTTCTCTAAAAGAAATATATAGTGTAGATATTAATTTTGTTATACTATTCGATTATCTCTAAAAACTTTTAATTTATAATTTTTTTCTTTTTTTTAGAATTATTTTAATTCGACTTGTATCACTTTTCTTGATTAAAAATCAATGTATTTTTTTTTAAACATATTCGGCACATAATTCAAAATTCGAAAAATTTTGACTTGTGTTATTCTTCTTGAGGGAGTGCGATATGTTCGCAAGGGCTATTTGCTTCTTACGCTTTATTTTTTAATAACTTTTAGAAGGCCGCGAGACATATAACGCCTGGAAATCGATGTCATATTTTGCATTCGATTATATATTAAAAGAATCATAAGTTACTTCGATTAGGTGAAGACGCCGCCGCAGATTTTTTGTGTTGATTTAAAAAAAATCTATATTTTAAGAAGAGAGAGAGAGAGAGAGAGAGAGAGAGAGAGAGAGAGATATTTTAAGAAAAATGTTAATTTTTATATAGTAAATGTATTTGCATTACATTGAATTTTACTTTATTTCTAGATATATATTTTGTTGAAATAAAAATGTATTTATATATTTATTATATACATATATGTATATAATAAATATATAAATATATATTGTTTTATTATTTATTTATTTCAACAAAATATAAATAATTTTCATATATATATATATATTATATATATGAAAATTATTTTAAAAATGATTTAAATTAAATTTCATACGTTGAATATAGATGTGTTCTCTTTTTTTAAAATATGTTTATCTTTTTAAGATTAAACATATACATATATTTTTTCCTACAGTGAAATTTTTATTTTCATTTTTTACTTAAGGAAAAAACCTGCCTTTTAAAGATTAATTATTCGCAATTTAGGATTCTTTGCCTATCGATTTGGAACGATCGACGATCAAGATGGAACGAATAAAAAAAAGAGGGAATATTAAAAGCCCGATATAATGGATATATTATTTTTATCATGTAAGAAGAAAATGGAATAGATTGACATTTACGAAAAAGTGAAAAAAATGATGATCTGTTTAATATCATTATATAGTATTTTGTATCAGTTTTACTTTTTCGTCACACACATCTGTTATTTGATTGACTCACTTATTTCAATAGACAAAATCTTTTATACTAAAAAGGAAATAGTAAGAAAAAATACATTTTTAACGTATATAATTATACGTTAAAACATGCAATTTATTGTTTGCAAATTGATAATATTAAATTTTATCCTTATCTTTTATAACCATAAAAATGATCTTAGAACAAAAATTCGATAACGCTGTTTTTTGGCGTTAATTTTAATCTAATTTTTCATGAAATTTTTTATGAGTTCTGAATTAGATTCTTGAAATTAAATGAATATTTTGTGTGAGCGAAACTCTGTGAGCTTTAACCGAAGAATATAACATTGCACGGGCGAACACAAATAACTGAGAATTTCGAGAGGCAATCTATTAATCATAGATTCGATTAAGTTTCAATTGATTTTCCAAGAAAAGCTGGGCGTTGAACGCATATTCAAATTATTATTCGTAATTTCCATTAATAGCTATACTAACCTGCGAATTTTCTCTTTTGAATCATTGTTTGAACGAACTTTACGGTTTCTTATAGATTTTTAGATGCTGAACACGAATTCATTTTCTAAAGGATGTTAAAAAGGGGTCAGAAAGACTATCGTATCCAAAATAGTCAAAATTTACAAAAAACACTATTTCTTTTACTTATATCTTTTTGAACAAAAATTAGCTCTTTTTTAACATCCTCCGAAAAAGAGCAGATTTTTGCGTAAAGATAAAAAATAATATTTTTTGTAGATTTTTACTTCCTGAGTACGAGTGATAAAATTATTAGAAAGTTCATGGTGTTCAGAGAACACCTCGAAAATTAAGCAAGAATATTGAAATTTAGATGAATACACCATTCGTGCTTAAGTTTTGAAGTGTTCCCCAAATGCTACGAACTTTTTAATAATACTTTTTGAACAAAAATTAGCTCTTTTTTAACATCCTCCGAAAAAGAGCAGATTTTTGCGTAAAGATAAAAAATAATATTTTTTGTAGATTTTTACTTCCTGAGTACGAGTGATAAAATTATTAGAAAGTTCATGGTGTTCAGAGAACACCTCGAAAATTAAGCAAGAATATTGAAATTTAGATGAATACACCATTCGTGCTTAAGTTTTGAAGTGTTCCCCAAATGCTACGAACTTTTTAATAATTTGATCATATCCAAAAGGTCAAAATCTATAAAAAAAAAACACCTTTTACTTTCACTTACACCTTTTTGAGCAGAAATCAGCAACTTTTTAACATTCTCCTTTGGTTATTCTGTCACAATTTTAAGAAAAATGGCATCAAAGAGGTAAAAAACGATTTTGAAGATTTTTGACGTCGTAACGGTATATATTAAATTTTTTAAAAATTTCCTACTAGTACATTAACTAGTTTCCTACTAGTTAATGTCATGAAAATACCAATTTTTAGCTTTAAAATATATTTTGTTTCGTATCGATATGATTTTTTATTTTGGATTCGTGTGTTGAAGCAAAAATATATTAAAAATCGCTCAAATTATTAAAATAATAATTGTGCAAAATATAATTAATTGTTCACTACATTTACGAGAGCCTTGTTGGTAACGTTTTTTTTTAATTCAAGCTAAATTTAAAAAATGCGTTTATATATTTCCAATTCGATCTACGACTCAAATTGATATGATACTCCGATATATCTCTATTGAGATAAAGAATCTGGATGTAGAAATCTGAATTTCGAATAGAAAATCTGAACTTCCAACATAGACTCAACAGAAAATCTATAACTATTTCCAATTTGTTTGAAAATCTCGGTAACATCAATTCGCGATCAATCTATCATGTCATTTTCATTGTGCCTCGACCCGCCCGTCACAGGTCGTCATAGAGTATACCACCTCGGATTGACTGAAGCGAAATGGCATGGATATAACGATTTCACTCTATGGAATACAGGAATGGGTGAAGGGGATACTCGAAGGGGATTGAAGGGTTTGAAGGTTACGACGGGCCATAAGCAACGTTCTGTTGACGTAAACAAAGTACGAGGGCTAGGGTAGGTCAGTTATAGTGATCAACATTTCGAATATCGTGACTGCTAATTTGTTGACTTCGAATAACAATTTCTAAGTTCGCGTAACGGGCGATGGAATTGTTTGTTGACTTGCTTTGCAAACAGCGCGCTTTCGCTTCGTGTAAGTGAGACTTTAATCTGTTCACTAATTGTCGATTTCCTCGATTAAACTATAGTAACTGAAGAAAAGTCAGAGTTCTCTGAAATATCAATGACTCAAGATAATTAATACCCTGCATCAGCGTCGAGGGGTCAACCACTATGGGAATCAGTGTACATTTTTTCAGAAATATATTGCGGCAATACAGTAATAAAACAAGCAATGCTAGCAGTACTAGCAATACTAGCAATATGCTAGCAATACATAGTAATACGTAGCAATATGTAGCAATACATAGCAATACATTAACAATACTTGTAATATTGTGCACAATAGATGGCAATACATGAGGTAATAGATGGCAGTACATCAGATAACAACGTTGATACAGCAGTTGTGACAAAAAAAAGTGATAATCTATTAACATCGAAATATCTGTAATGAGCGTTTGAAAAATTATTTGAATTTTAGATTTCTGAAATATACATCCGCGGTAAACGTTTAATCTATCTTTAAATATATTAGAAGAAATATTATATC